GTACACATTTTGCACACGAACATTATTATTCATACATTGCGTATAGCCTGTTATCTTCGTCTGATGTTTTTTGCTGCTCCAATATTTTAATTGTATTTTGTTACGTATCTTACTCATATCTTGAGATACTGCTGGATCAATTTGATTCATCAAGTGCTTGTTTGATGCTTGGTGAAGGGACAGGATCGTCTTCTTCAACAACGTACACAGCTGCAGTTCTTATCTATTTCGGCAACTTAGAAAGTTTTGCTCAATGATTTATAATGCCGCATTGTTGTCGTTAAATAGAGTGAGCGTGACGCCATATAGAGTGTAATGTTGTATAGAAAACAATGTAAACCAACCAGTCAAGCAATTTCGACGTTTTAAGGAGTTTGACTTAAATCGAGTGACGTTATAAAGAGTTTACACTGTACTTCTTTCTTGAAACAAAACATTTTTTGTAAAAAAAAAATAAGCAACACCAACACCTTGGTTTGTCCATCAGTAGATCATTTGCAGTTTTCAATTCCTGTGAATTTTATTTTGAGTCAATATGTACTTTTACTTTTACAGAGTAAACGAAAACTCAGACAACATGGTAGACGTTCATCTAGAAGCTGATTGGTTTTCTGATTTTCCTCATTTTATATTCGATACAGATATGCACAGTAAACCACTAGCGCGAGCAATTGCTAGAGAAACCTGGTCGAAAGAATATTTCGAAACACTTAAAACGTAAAGTAGTAATACTCGGTCGTTTTCTTCATTATTATTAAAATAAAAACAGAATCTAAAATAGTTACTTTTAGAGCCCATCAAACGCATTACGAGCAAATGGGATACTTAAAAGGAAAGCTAACTGTAAATGGAGAAAAAATTTACTTAAATATGAAATCATTCCGGGACCATAGCTTTGGTAAAATGATAATATTTTTTTTTATTTCATTCATTCTTCGGTTGATAAATTTCGTAATAATTACGTATAGGTAATTTAGGAAGGCATGGACCTTCACTTGCACGACAGGCAGGCCTTATTGTATTGATATTACATAACAAAATGATTTTATCACTGAATAGTACTAGTTTGTACTAGTGATTCTCCGGGGTTAACGTTTTTAGGTAAAAATAGCCATCAGGGGGTTAGATACGTAGCAGTGGAAGGGAAGGAGAGAGTACAGGAAAACATAGGAGTGGGTCAAAATTCTTCCAAAAACCGGGCCTTATTTATTTTTATATTTAATCACTAGAACGAGTTGTCATACCATGATACTAGTCATAACATGATACTGATTGAAAACCACGATCATCCACCATATAGTTCAGACTTTGCACCGAGTGATTTTCACCTTTTTCTATAATTGAAAGCACACTAATACTCTCTGTAAGACAAAAGTTGCATTACTTGGGTTCTGGGATTAGTCAAATTGGGACTCGCCATTGCAAACTTCATCTCTGGTTTAAATTTTCTGACAATGACAATTATCAGAATTAATTTTTCAAAAACCCTAGGTCACAAGCGAGACTGGACTTTAATGCATCGTTACATATACCACACGATATTTCTAACCGACGATACCAGAATTTCGGTAGGAGTCATAAGCCAGCCATGTACCAGTTCGTATCTCGAAATGGGCTACGTGATAACGAAAGATCGAAAGTTTCATCCCATTAAAGATTGCGATTTAATTCTGTATCAGCATGGAGAGGGTGGCACTCCGCCCAAGGAAATTTGCTGTAGCGTGATAACAGACAAGGATACGTATCATATCCTGGCGATATCGCAGCGTGATGCAGTCCATTACAAGGGCGACGATGTGGAAGCAAGAATGGTGGAAAGGTTCATGACTTACGAAGTGAACGGATTAAAAGGGTGGGGTATTTCGGAATGGCATTACAACAACATCAGAAATTAATTTTGTTTTATTGTTCAAAATCGGTGGTAGATGTAGTTTATTATATCATGACTCTTGGCTACGGGCTACGCAGTGACAAAACTCCGCCCTTAAATGGACTTCTACTGTTCTTCCTCATAAAAGTATTAACCGTCACTGTTTACAGTTCATCTAGAGCAGTGATTCCCAACCGGTGGTTCGCGAACCCCTGGGGGTTCGCAGTGTCTGCAGAGGGGGTTCGCGAAAATAATATTGTAATGGCGGATTTTTTAAGGCGCCATTAAAATCAAAAGCAAAAAACAAAACAAAAACACAAAAATTAAAGAACACACCCACTGTAAAACAGATTGTTCGCTGCCTGTTTGTTAAGAAATCTATAATAAATTTCAATATTTTCATTTCTTTTTTCCTTATTTGTTTTTCAAAATTACTTCATCAATATCAAATTATATCAACAATTTTATACATTAAAATTTATTCCTCTT